ATGTCACATGACAGTTGTGTTCATGAGTTGCCTGTAATTGAAAAAAGGCCACGAGGATGATAAATATGTAGCAGTTTCAACAGATTTCAGATCAACTGTGGTTGCACATGGAGAAAAACCTGGTCAAATAGTCCAAATACTTATGGACTCTGCAAGAGTTGTTAAACTGTAATCAGCAAAGCCTGTAAAACTGTAATGATTTTATTATTTTCTGCTACCAGGAAGTGTTGGATATTAAATGTCATCAGGTTGAGCAGCTGAGGAATGTTGGACTTGTTATAATAATAAATTAAAAGTTGATTTCTAAAGACAAATGCATTGCTCGTTGAGATATTTTTAGTTTCCCACCACTCTGTGCAGTGTTTTTTTTACGATCCGTGTTTGAGTTTTGCAAGAACCGTTCCTGTGAGGACACAGTTGTATATTCAGCTGGTGGAGGCCAAACAAGAGATAAAAGAAGAGTGAATACTGCCTTTCATGAAGAGGATAATTAGGACTGTAAATCAGTGCTAAACTAAGTAGAAAATGATGTGCTATTTCCAAAAGCCTAAATGAAAGGCATTAGTTGGTAGGTTTAAATAAAGTTTTGTATGTTTTACTCAAAGCCCTGCTTCAGATTGGTCACCTGCCCGGGGTGTGACCTGCCTCTGAGCCTGTAGTAGCGAGATAGGGTCCCGCCCCCTATTAGGAAAAAGGAAAAAAGCCTTTATTCAGAGCTAAACATGATAAAACAGATACGGTTGCCGAGTGAGCTGCATTTCAACAATGTTTGTGTTCTGGGGCAGTTTGTCCGAAACCTTGTTTTGATTCTTTGCTTTACTTTTAATGCATTCTTACATTTTTATTGTACAACACTGAATTTGACCTGAAGCTATTTTTATTCTTACATCTGTCAGCTCTAACTGCACTCGCCTGCCTTCTCTGCTCAACGATAGTAACACTGCAAAGTGAGCCGAGCTGTTACAGTAGCTGGATTTTCATGGCGTCGGCCCAGAAATTAAAAATAAACCATCACGGTCCTCACTCAGTGTCAACCATCTTGTCCTTAGGAAGTCTGCCAGAGTCGTTTACAGCACTACACATGTTTCCGTGTTTCGTCACGCTCGTGTCCCAGAGGTGGTCGTTTTAATGCCCTCGACCTCTGGGCATCACTCAGAAACACTGGCACAGTTTGAATGGTGGACCCAACACTATCAGCACTCGTGCACACCGCTGCACCACAACGCTGGAATGAACGTTAGCGAGCCTACAGCTGAAACTAATAGGTATGAGCAGGAAAGAAGGCACCGCCATTAATCTCCAGTTAAGAACCAGATCTCCTCGGAGCCAAAGTGCACTCTCTGAACTCCGAGATAAAGGATGCACTTAATGGGTCCGTTTGTTTGATTCTTTTTCCTCTTTATTTGAACTGAGAGATGCTGCCACTGTTATCTTGCACCCCGATTTTCGTGCATGGGTGTTTTTTCCCCGAAACAAGTGGGATTCAAAGAGATCTGTTTCAAGCGTCATTGGAATTCACTGCAGTCTTGACTTTGGTGACCTTGATTACTGAAGAAGATAAGCACTGCTCTTGATGTGAAGCAGCAGTTTGATAGATTCTCTTTCAAACTCTCGAAATTGTATAGAAAATCTAACTGAGCTTTACTTTTTTATCAGGTTGGACTGATGCACATAGTTACTGATGTTCCAGTAAACATATGTGTGAATTCTATCGCACACTTCCATGAATGTGCCTCAGAGAGAAGTCCTGACAGTTTGGACGGCTTATTTGGGATGATTCAGAGGTCAGGGTGCTATGACATCACTGTGGGCTTACAGGGGGACTCTGGGTGCTTTTCTGTTTGTAATTATAAAGAGCTGCTGATGTCATATCTGAAACCGATCACAAGAACGCTGTGTTCTTACAGAACGTGAACACACA